GCCTGAGACCAGAAGAACTAGATGGTGCCCGGCTACCACCAATGACTGCCATGAAAGGGAACATAACAGAGTCCCTGGTGGAGCGGGAGAAGGTTGGGGTGCAGAACTCAAATTCTAGTAAGAAGACCAGACTTAGTGATCTGACTGAGACTGGAGGAACCCTAGAAAGCATGGCCCCCGGACTCTTTGTCAACCCCAAACTAAAACAATTTCTGAGGCCAACTCTTCTTACAAAGTTTGGACTGGACTGTGGGACATAAAATGAAACTCGTGACGAGTGTGCTTCTTAGCTCAAGTAGATACAGGAGACTAAATGGGCAGCTTCTTTCCAGAGGTGAGATGAGAAGGCAGAGAGGGTTAGCAGCTAGTTGAATGGACACGGGAAATCGGGTGAAAAGGAAGAGTGTGCTGTCACAGTATAGGGAGAGCAATTAGGGTCACATAACAATGTATGTATAAATTTTTGTATGAGAGACAAACTTGAATTATAAACTTTCACTTAAACTATAACAATTTTAAAAAAAAGGAATTATGGAGTTATAGCATATATGTATCCACACTGTCTAAAGTATGGTCTATAAAACAGCAGCATCAGCATCTCCTGGGAGCTTCTTAGAAATGCAGACTTACTGATTCAGAGTTTGCATTTTACCAAGTTCCCCCCAGTGATTAGTAGGCATGTTAAAGTTTGAGAAACACAGGTATACATTTTAAATTTTCATAAACACTTTTATTTGCTGTTCAAAATGGCTATACCAATCTAAAATCCTATCAGAGGCCTATAAAGTTGTTTCAGATCATAGATCTTTCCACAAATTATTCCTGATTTCACATGTCCTTCTCATTTAACAGGCCTGTCAGCTCCGGTACCCAGAGGTCGTAAAGGGAAGAAAGTAAAGACTCAAACAAGCTCATTTGATATACAGAAAGCAGAATGGCTTCGAAAATATAATCCTGAACAGCTACTTCAAGATGAAGGCTATAAAAAACATATAAAACACCACTGTAATAAGTAGGTAGCAGGATATTTTTAGCACAATTCTTTACAGTTTATTTTTCTGAATTTATTAACTATCTTAAGGCATGCTGATTTTGAGTACAGAGGCAGCACAGTCTAGAACCAGTTCTTATCTTAACCTTACAGGGCGTCCTTAAGCAAATCCTGGTAGCTCTTGTGTCACTAGAGTGAGAAATAAAACGATGATTGTGAAGATTTTAGAGAAACTTGCTTTAAATATATGCTAATAATGAGATTCATTTCATCAGAAGTAATTAATGTTTTGTTATAAAAATTTTGTATACAATTTACTCCCTAACTTTACCCCCGTGGATGAATTTTTTCTTAATGATTCATGTCTCTGTGTCTTTTGATTTATTTTCTTTCATTCTCAGGGTTTTGCTTCGTGTGAGAATGCTGTATTATCTAAAGCAAGAAGTCATTGGAAATGAGTGTCAGAAAGTATTTGATGGTGTTGATGCAAGGTAAATTAAATAACATGTTTGTATTTCTTTTTCAGTAATATGATAAAACAAAATTTATATAATCTGAAAATTGCATATTAGGTAGCTTCTTAGTGAAGTTTAGAAGAAGCAAATTTCAAGTCAGTGAAATTTAAAATAAGCAAAGTTCACCAAACTTAGGGAATTAATCATTGCCAAATTACAAAATTACAGGTGCTATAGCTGTCTCATACTGTGAAAACAGCCCAATAACCAAAGCATTATGGATTTATTATTATGGTTATTAGTACTTTATCATTATGTTTTCCTTTTGTTGCTATCTGAGTATGGCATTACTTACAGTGTTAAAATAACACTTTGAGTGTTTTAATTAAATTATGAATGAGACACTTGCTGTTTTCCTTTATTTATAAGCAGTATTTAATATTTCAGTGTGATTTTCTTAGAAATAGGTGTTTAGAAAAGCCATAACTTGCTTTCCAGCCTAAAGCAACTCAGTTGCCCTTTTAGGGCTTCAGTCTCCTGATATACAAAAGGAAGTTTTTGAACCAGGTCATTTGTGCCAAGTTGTTTGCTGATGTAAGATTCTACTTTGACATAGAACGCTTTTCTATTTCTAAAGAAAATCACTGGAAAGAATACGATTTCCTTAAGAAAATCTTAACCTCCTTTTCTAAAAAATCACAGTGCTTTAGAAGCTAGGTAAGATTTTATCCCATGTTACTGGGGAAGCCAGCACAACTTGTATAAGAAAAGGTCATGGAAGCTCCATAGACATATCCAAGCTCCCTGAGGGACCAAATTACTGGGCTGAGGGCTGTGGGGACCATGGTCTTGGGGAACATCTAGCTCAATTCGCTTAACACAGTTTATAAAGACAGCGTTCTACATTCTGCCTTGGTGAGTAGCGTCTGGGTTCTTAAAAACCTGTGAGCAGCCATCTAAGATACTTTACTGGTCTTACCCTTCGGGAGCAAGGGAAAATGAAGAGAACAGGATACAAGGAAAGATTAGTCCAAAGGACTAATGGACCACAGCTACCACGGCCTCCACCAGACTGAGTCCAGTACAGCTAGATGGTGCCTGGCTACCACCACTGTCTGCTCTGACCGGCATCACAACAGGGGGTCCTGGACAGAGCTGGAGAAGGATGTAGAACAAAATTCGAACTCACAAAAAAAGACCAGATTTACTGGCCTGACAGAGACTGGAGAAACCCTGAGAGTATGGCCCCCGGACACCGTTTTAGCTAAGTGGTGAAGTCACTCCCAAGGTTCACCATTCAACCGGGGATTGGACAGCCCCATAAAACAAAACGGGACTAATGAGGCACAGCATTCCAGGGACAAGGACTAGAAGGCAGGAGAGGACAGGAAGACTGGTGATAAGGAATCCAAGGTTGAGAAGGGACAGTGTTGACATGTTGCGGGGTTGTTAACCATTGTCATAGGAAAATATGTATACTAACTGTTTAATGAGAAAATATTTGTTTTGTAAACCATCTAAAGTCCAAAAAAAAAAAAAGAGAGAGAGAATTATCTATGTGAGATCGAATTGACAACAACAACTCAGGGGGTTTGATGGGAAGCCCAGGGGCAGTGAATTGAAGATAATGGTGATGGAATAATTTGGAAAGGGATAGTGCGAATAGCAGCACAACTGGAAGAATGTAATCAATGTCACTGAAGTGTACATGTAGAAATTTTTGAAATGGTGTTTCTTTGGCTATGAATATTTCCACCAAAAAAAAGGTCCTCCAAGGTCGAGAAGGGAGAGTGTCGACATGTCATGGGGTTATTAACCAATGTCATAAAACAATATGTGTACTGTTTAATGAGAACTGTTTGTTCTGTAAACCTTCATCCAAATTAAAAAAAAATTTAAAAAAGATTTTACCCCCTCTTTGACTTGTTCATAAGAATTCATAATGACATATCATGATTTTATTTTTTAAGTGACATTGATGTTTGGGTCCCAGAGCCAGACCACTCAGAAGTTCCTGCTGAGTGGTGGGATTTTGATGCTGATAAGTCACTCCTTATTGGAGTCTTTAAACATGGTAAGTAAGAAGTAAGGTAGGTAAGATCACTTCTGCGTATAGGGTAATTCAAGGAGTTCTCAGTTAAGTAACACCCCCTTAGAGCTTTATTCCCGTAGCACGCTTGTTATTATATACAGTATTAAAAGCATACATTGCCACTACATTTCCTCATGAGAGGGCAGGATACGTAACCTGCCCCTGCAGGATATCAGGAGCTACGTACCTTCTCCTCTAATATGGAATATATATTTAGCTTTTGCTATTTTTTTATATTAAGTGGTAAATTTAATTTAAATTTTTACATACACATATTTCTAGATCATATAATGTTTGTGATTATTTCTAGAAAACACATTTAACCTGTATCATTTTAGCATATGACTCCTTTAGTCCAGGAATATCATGCACCATAAATTTGAGGAATGTTTATAGGGTCACTATGAGTCGGAATTGATTTGACAACAGTGGGTTTGGTGGTTTTTTTTAATATTGATATACTGTTTTTCTTTTTATCCTTTTTACTTTTGTAATTGGTGATTCTTCCAGGTTATGAAAAATATAACACTATTCGAGCAGACCCAGCATTATGCTTCTTGGAAAGAGTGGGGAAACCTGATGAAAAAGCAGTTGCCGCTGAACAGAGAGCAAATGATTATATGGATGGGTATGTGCACTTCAGAGTCACGAATTCCCTGTGTATTTCTGACGTCCTTCATTTCATTGTAGCAAGGATTTCATGGCCATTAAGGCTATAACGTTCTAGGGCACAAGAAGAAAAAAGAAAGGCAAGAATATTACACTTAAAGAGAAATGTGATGTCGTTCTAAGGCCTTTATTGTCTTTCTTTTCTTACCCATAAGAGAAATTTAAGAGACTACATTGATGTTATTAATACCATATTTAAAAGTGAACTCAAACTGCTTTCTTCTTATCTGCCATGTTAACAGCTTTCATATTGCAGCTGGGCTTCTCTGGCTACAGAACAGGGACTTCAGTCTGGCCTTTAAAACAAACTGAAAAATCTTTCCATCAAAACTGCATTTGTTTGTCCTGTCAAGAGAAATCTTAAGTCCATCACAGTAATTATGCATTTGTTGGTGTTTTAACAGCGATGTGGAAGATCCGGAATACAAACCTGCCCCAGCTATCTTTAAAGATGACATAGAGGTATGCTTTATACCTCAGTTTTAGTTATTTTGGTTTCTTTTGTTTGCGTTTTCCTTTGCATGTTTTTCTTTTGTTTGTTTTCTTTATAATAATTCTTCTGTTCCTCCAAAGATTAGCTAAGTAAGTGATCACCTTGGGTTGAGAAACAGCCCAAATAATCCTTCAGAATTTGCCTGATCTCTCCTCCTAAATCAGCTGGAGCCCGGTTTGGGTATGGATGGGGCTTGCTCAGGTGTTTCACTGATTTTGGAACTAAGAAATACAGTGTCCTGAGGGCAAAATCCCAAAGACTAGTAGAATGAGAACTAGATTCTACAGGTACACAGCAATAGATGGAAACTATTCCTACATGAAAAGATTTGAAATAGAGGGTGAGGCTAGAGGAATTCTCTGACCTGCTAGAGCATGTTTCTACGTGCTCTACGTATAGAATGCCAAAGGGAAAAGAAGAGCTGGATGATAATACAGAAAATAATCTGTGAAAGGGGGGAAAGGAGATGAGGAATTTCTGTAATGTTCCTGAGAGTATGGTAAAAGCCTTGATGATGCAATAGCAGTCAGGTAGGGTTTGCTGGTCTTGGTAGGCAAGATGCCTATATAAGGACACGAGGTGAGACTTAGGTGAGTATGTAGGCAATTAGAACTGAAATCCCTTATAAAGCCAGGACCCTCAAAGGGGGGCAGTATCTTCTGCCAAGCCGGGAAATGACAAGGAAATTTATCTCAGCATGGACTCTGGGTAGGAAAATAAAAATGGTCTCCACTGGGGATTCATAACCATAGGCCTGTCTTCTCATGGGTTTATGATTTTATTCTTCTACTGCATCTGCATGGTCCTGGAACCCTCAAGTCAAAAATGTAATATAAAGAGGCATCCCAGGCTGGGAATACCCTGGGAAAGAGCAAAAAGGAGAAAAAAGAAAAAGAACTCTGGAAGAAACAACTTCAGTCTAGAACACACTTGAGTCCTAGAGGTAAAGCCCTCCCTAAAACGAGGCCAAAATCCAATATTTAAAGATATATCAGAAACGGCCCTGAGATCATCTTTAAACCTTAAACCAAAAATATCCCCTGAAGTCTTCTTAAAACCAAACAATAGCTTAGCTTAACTAGCAAAAAAAGGTCTGCCTTGAGCATTATGCTCTTTTAAGAACTATCTATAAGGGATCAAATTGACAACAGCAGCTCGAAAGATTAGATAGGAACCTTAGGGGGCAGTGTGTTTATGTTAATGGGAGAGGAACAACTCAGAAAAGGAGGGTGGGAATGGTTGCACAACTCAAAGAATGTGATCAGTGTCACTAAATGATACATGTGGAAACTGTTGAATTGGTGTATGTTTTGCTGTATATATTCTCAACAACAACAAAATTTTTTAAACAATTGTTTAATTTTTATAGGGACAAAATAAAATATATGAAGAATAATTCACCACGCTTGAATGTTAGCAGATACAACTAATAGCAGGATTAGACCCCCCCAAGGACTTCAGATAATAGATCTATGGAAATAGAAAATAATACATTTTTAAATGATAAAAGACATAAAAGAATCAGGAACAAAAGAAAAAAAGGCCATCTGTGGTGCAAAAAGACTAGGGAGATATGAGAAAGAATTATATGCAACTTTAGAAGCGGAAAGTAGAGATGCTGAAATTTAAAATTCAACAAATAGGTTAAACATTCTACTGGAGAAGCAGATTAGAAACAGCTCATGAGAGAAGAAATGATCTGGAAAATAGGAGGAAATTACCAAAATGTTGCATTCATAGTATGATGATATATCAGTCTGAGCCAATCAGGGAAGAGAAACCATATGGTAATTTGAACATGGAAAGTTTAATGTAAAGAATTAACTGGAATGTGGTTGGTGTAGCAAGGGATTGGCTCGTGTGCAGTAAAGAGAACTCTAAAGAATATAGGAATAAACCAGTGTCACGAAACAAGCTGTGTATAAATTGTTGAATGGGAAACTAATTTGCTCTGTAAACTTTTACCTAAACAATAAAAAGTTCAAAAAAGAAACAGAAAAAAATGTATATAGGAATAGCAGATATAAGGAGTAGCCACCACACTGGGAATGAGATAAGCACCCGAGAAAGAGTCCCCTTCCTCCTGCCCCCACCCCCTTGCTGAGATCCAGACCTTGTTGGGAGTCATGGCCATGGCTCACTGGATGGCATAAAGTTTTCTGTGCTGCCACACCAGTGGAACTTGATGGAAATCCACCCTGTAGAGCCCTAATGGCACAGTGGTTAAGAGCTTGGCTGCTAACCAAAAGGTCAGCAGTTTGAATCCAACAGCTGCTCCTTGGAAACCTTATGGAGCAGTTCTACTCTGTTCTATAGGGTTGCTATGAATCAGAATCAACTCAACAGCAACGGGTTTTTTTGGTTAGGGTGCCAAGGAAAGCTTTTTCTGGGGAGATACTTCACTAGAGGCACTTGGCTAAACCCTACCCCCACCCCCAGTGAGGCCAAGAGTACTAGAGGAAGCTGCTGGGTGCTGCTGGGTACTACTGTCCACCAAGCTCTGAAAAGCTGCCTGCTGTGCTGGAGCTGGGCCTTGGGCTAGCTGTTAGTGCTACAGAAGCTGTAGGTGAGCTCACTGGAACCAAGGAAGTAAAACACTTTCTCCTGCAATGCCTCTCTAGCTCCCCTCTACTGACAAAGTTTAGATTGTACCTGCTGGTGAAGAAACAAATATTTAAAGAGCCTTATGTCAGAGCGGCAATAAATTTGGAGCTGAGAGGCAATAAATCAACATCCGGCACAATGGAATATATGAAAAAATTTTAGAGACAAGGAGAATAGAATGATAATGTCTGGTATGTATCTACTAGGAGTTGCAGAAGGATAGACTAGAGAGAGTAAGGGAGAAGTACAATTTGAAGAGATATCAGCTGTGAATTTTGAGATTTGGTTAAAGATATGAATCCTCAGATTAAAGAAGTAAAGTGAATCTTGGCAGGATAAATAAAACTAAATCCACTCCAAGCCATATCCTGGTGAAATGGCAGATAAACCGAACAAAGATGTTAAAAGCAATCAGAGTGAAAAGACCTACCTACAAAGGAATGACAGTAATTTTAACTCCAAGCTATTCTAAAACAATAGAAACTAGTAGCCTTTGGCATGCATTTAAGGTAATGTTTCGATTAGAGGTATTCTGTTGACAGATAAAAATTGGGTCTGCAGCAAAAGCAAGTATTTTCAAGGCTGAAGAAGAAAAGACTTGCAGGTGCAGTAATAACCAAATAAGAGAATGAATAAATTCTCCGAGAGTTGGCATATAGAGAAAAAAAGACAATTGACTAATGATAAAACCTAGGGCATACTTGCAGTTAGAAGATGGGAGGAAAGGAAACTGGCTTAAAAGTAATCATAGAAAAGGTAATCATTTTAGTAAATAATGACTGGTCTAAAGTGTGGAAGGCATCAGAGAAGTGTGAAAGGATAAGACTTGAGAACAAGGAATAAAAAATTATTTTGCTAAATGATTAATAATCCTCTTATAGACTAAATGGGCAGCTTCTGTTCAGAGGTGAGATGGGAAGGCAGAGAGGGTTAGGAGCTGGTTGAATGGACATGGCGAATCGGGTGGAAAGGAGGAGTGTGCTGTCATGGTATGGGGAGAGCAGTTGGAGTCACATAACGGTATATGTATAAATTTTTGTATGGGAAAAAATTTTTTTAAAAATCCTCTTATAAAAAAGTTCTATGTTGTAAAAAGGTTTGATTCTCTTTTCTTCTTACATGTTTCTTGCCCTGATTACCCTGTTACTAATTTCTATTTTCTTTTAATAGGATGATGTTTCTTCACCAGGAGATCTTGTTATAGCAGATGGAGGTAAATTGCATTTATTTCTGAACTTAGTATTATTGTAAATGCACATTGTCTTGTTACTATGACATCAATAAATTATTATACCTTTATAATGTATATGGAGAGATCAGTCTCTAGAGAAGGACATCATGCTTGGTAAAGTGGAGGGGCAGCGAAAAAGAGGAAGACCCTCAACAAGATAGATTGACACAGTGGCTGCAACAGTGGGCTCAAGCATAACAACGATTGTGATGATGGCACAGGACTGGGCAGTGTTTCATTCTGTTGTACATAGGGTTGCTATGAATCGGAACCGACTCGATGGCACCTAACAACAACAATGTATATGAAATTTTTATTTAAGACGTTATTAGCTGCGTTGAGTCAGCCCCCAGCTCATAGTGACCCCATGCACAACAGGATTGGACCATTTAATCGATAGAGTTTTTGTTGGCTGATTTTTGGAAGTAGATTGCCAGGTTTTCTTCCTAATCTTAGCCTGGAAACTTCGTTGAAACCTATTTAGCATCACAGCAACACTCAAGCCCTCCGCTGACAGATGAATGGTGGCAGTGCTTGAGGTGCATTGGGGGAAATGAAACCTAGGTATCCCCGCATGGAAGGCAAGAATTCTGCACTGAACTACCACTGCCCTCATTAATACATTAGTTGTAATCATTATACGACGTACTAGTTGCTTGGGGAACTTCACAGTATTTTTAGTTATTACAAATCTTTATACAGTGATTCACTGAGCTTTTATAGCATAGGGGCTTTGGTGACTTTATGGCTTGATTTGTAAACCTCTATGTGAGAGTTCATTATTAAAGTGCTAACTCAGTAATATATTCAGCTTCTTACTAGTTCCGTATGCACATCAGGAGCCATTCATTCCCTGTCACCCAGTTTCTGCAAAGCTCTTCTGTACAGGCCTTAGCTTTCCCTTCCCTCTGAAGGAAAGTTTGGTTTGAGCTCAAAGCCCCAGATATCAAGATAAGAACACAGTGTCACTCATTCCCAGCTGGTACCCAAGGGGACAGTACCTTACCCTCCCATTGTTCAGCTAGGAATGAGGGAGTAGTTTTTGCTTGGGATGAATGAGTACAGTTTGATTATAATATGTATAATTATAAATGGCACCTTCATGTTATTAGGTGAGAATTTAAAGGGACACAATGTTGTCATACTAGATTTTATAAAAATGTATGTTTCTATCTAATTACTTTTAAAATGTTTTGATTCTAATTGAAAAAATTTAAAACAGCAGACTTCAATTAGAAGAGTTTATAGTATTCAACTTCTTATGAATTTCAGCTTAGTTTTGATTTATTTAAGTTAAGACAGTGAAATAATATGTATTATACTTGAAAATTCCTGGGTTGTATTTTCTGTGAAAGTGAAGTTCCCTTTAAATAGATAACATTGCGGTTCTTTATGTTGCAGGACCTTTTTACTTTGAGCTGTTCTTGAAATTTGTTATAGCTTTTCTTAAAGTTCACTGTAATATTTTTGGAGCTGTACTTAAAAGAAGGAGCTCTGGTGGTGCAGTGGTTAAAAGCTTGGCAAAAGGTCAGCAGTTCAAATCCACCATCTGTTCCTTGGAAATACCTATGGGGCAGTTCTACTCTGTCCTGTAGGGTCTTTCTTCATGATGAGAGATTTGGTATTGAAATTTTGCTGCTTTTGTAAGCTTTGTTACCGTATCTTGTTTAGGTTTTTGTTTTTTTCCATTATTGACAAGAGTTTCTCTAAATATAGATGGTCAACTGATGGAGGGTGATAAAGTTTATTGGCCTACTCAGTCAGCTTTAACCACACGGCTGAGGCGTCTCATCACTGCCTATCAGCGTACCAATAAAAACAGACAGATCCAGCAGATGCCACCAGTTTTCCCAGTGCCTGCCAGTGTCATGCAGCCTCTTTATGAAGAAGCCACTCTTAACCCTAAAATGGCAGCCAAAATAGAAAGACAGCAGAGGTAAGACAGTGGCACTGAATTTTTAATATGTAGGTGTTCATTTTGAAGGCTGTCCAGGTACGATTATCTCCCTTTGTGAAAAGCATGTATAGATAGAGAAGTTGGTCAGCGCAATGTGCTTTGTGCACATACAGGTAGTCCCTGACTTACGACATATTAAATTTACGAAGAACTGCGTTTACTACCTTGTTTTTTTTTCTTTTTATACATCTTATTGTTAGAAATATATACTACATACAGTATTGCAGCGTGTAATTTGCTGATGTTATCCTCAGATGTTCACTCACAGATGTTCAAAGATCAGCTTTATAAAGATCCTGATAATAAAGGCAGTAATAATGAAAACTAAAAACAGAGGTATTTGACTTATATCAGAACCGACTTACGACAGAGTCATTGGAATAGAACCTGATCATAAGTCAGGGACTACATGTATACACACATAAACACTCAGAAATATGGTAAAATTAATAAAGATAATTGTGTCTTATAGTTACTAGCCATACTTCATATATGATCATTCTTTTGTCTGTTTATGAACACTGAGGTACTAGAAAAAAAGTAAGGTGCAAAGCAAACCGAAGAATTGTCAATTGGACAGAAGTTTAATATATTCTTATCTTTCGTAAATGTTTTAATGTAAAATCATATGATGAAATAAATTACATTTTATTTTATTTTACTTTAAAGCATTTATGAAAGATAAGAGTATATAGAAGACAAGTCCATTTCTGCTTTGTACAAAGGATGAACTCTTGGGACTACTTATTTTCAAAGGGAAGCAAATAGAATTTTTAGCAATAACCTGGGCCCCTTGTTAAACCTAATCCCTTGGACGTTCTCTAGGAGGTAAATCATTGTTCTTTTGTAGCAAAGTCATTGCAGTACAGAATTCTAGTAAGTCTGAAATTTAAGATTTTAGCTATCCTAGCCCTAATTTTCAAATATTACTACCTCTGTAAATATAATATTTCTGTTATATATTGCTGCATGACAAATCGCCCTAAAACATAGTGACCTAAAACAGCATTAATCGTTATTTCTCATGATTTTGGATTGTGGTTCTGCTGCTGCACATTGTATTGGCTGTGGTGCTCGAATGGCTGGAAGGTCCAAAATGGCCTCACGTGACTGGCAGTTGGTGCTGGGTGGGACCTCAGATTCCAAGAGAGAGCATCCTGAGCAGCAAGGGAAGTAGCAGATTTCTTGAGGCCCTGTCTTGGTGATTACATAGTGTCTCTACTGCCACATTCTGTTGGTCAAAAAAAATCACAGGGGCAGACCAGCTTTAAGGGATAGGGAAATAAATTCTACTTCTCAGTGGGAAGTGTGGCAAAGAATTTGTGGCCACTTTTAAACTGCCACATACATTTTCCCTTGGTCTGTCAGATCCAAATTAATCTTCCTGAAATTTTATCACAACATTCTCTCTATTACGGATAAAGTCTAAGATCTTAAGCCTAAATTCATGGGTCTCTATAATTTAGACTTTAGCATGCATTTCTAATGTTATCTACTGCCATTCCCTCAGCCAGAATGTCTTGCTAATTCTTGACCCAATACCCTAGCTTACGTTGTTCGTATCACCTGGAATACCCTTCTTCTTACTCTTACCTAGTTTATACCTAACCCATCCTCCACAGCTCAGCACAAGTCCCATCTCCTTTGTTAATTTTTTCTCAACCAGTCTAACTCAGTGTTCTCTCCATTTTCTGCACTCAAATATATAGTACGTATCTAAATAAACTACTCATTTGTCTCAGTAATATAAGATACTCTAATGACGTCTGTCTTTTTCTTTATAAGTTTTGTAAGTTTTTTGATGGTAGACACTCTCATTTTTTGGTATCCTGTGTAGCCTTTCAGTTTATCTTTTCCAATCCTACTTTTATCACCCAGGTCCAAAGTTCTTATAACTTGACTGGTTTCCCAGGCTGACCTTTTACCCAATCAACGTTAGATTAATCTACTTAACATATTAGTGTAACAATAATGGTTCATTAACATTTTTCAAAGATGTTTTCCATATGTTTTTTTTCTCATTTAAACAACAATCTCATGAGATAGGCAGGGAAAATGTTTTACAAATAGAGAAACTGAAGTTACGGAGATCTGTGGTACGTGATGATAATATTACCCTCTTAAAGTATCTTCAGGGGTTTTCAACTGAATAGAAACTATTTTTAGCCAGGCATTTAGAGCCTATTATAATCTTACCCCAATTGTATCTCCCTCTGTCCCCACTATAAGCCATATCCTTGTCAGTCTGGAATACTTATCACTCCCCAAAATGCACAATGCTCCCTACTTTTATCTTTGCTTATTCTGTTCCCTCTTCCTAGTATTCCCTTTCTAACATAACCATGTCACATCTTAATTGCCACTTTATAATGCCTTTCTTGGTCACCCAAGTCAGAACTCATCCTTCCATCTTCTGCTCTCTTGGTTTCTATAACTGATATAACAACTATAAAATACTACTTTATGTTATGAATATATTTGAAAATGTTTTATCTTCTTCCTGTAGGCAGAGCCACTTTGGCTTATATAATTGTGTATGCTGTGCAGATTCTCTCACATTGTAACTGTGCAGTAAACTATTATTGTCTGAAGGAACAGTTTATATACCAAAAGAAACATGTTTGGATGGAGGAATCAAGTAGCATTTAAAAATACATTTACAAGGCAATAACCCTAGATTTTTAATCCATTAAAATGTTTAGGTACTTGAAATGTTTTAAGTTTTTATACTAGTCATTATATTCAGTATTATTTATTTCAATGACCTGTGTGGGTTTTTTGTTTTTTAACTTCGATTCAAAATAGATGGACAAGGAGAGAAGAAGCTGACTTTTATAGAGTTGTATCTACATTCGGAGTGGTATTTGATCCTGACAGAGGCCAGTTTGATTGGACAAAATTTAGAGCTATGGCTAGGCTACATAAGAAAACTGATGATAGTTTGGAGAAATACTTGTATGCATTCATGTCTATGTGTCGGAGGGTTTGCCGTCTTCCTTCCAAAGAAGGTATGTATAAAGTTTCCTTTTTTTTTTTTTCCCTTTCCTGTTTTGATCAAGGTAACAAAACCACAAAAATTCAGAAATTTGCAGTTTATCTTTTTATGGGTGATTTCAGTACCATCTGATTCACCATGTCAGCAATTTTTCAAAATTGTAAATAAGCTATGCTGAAAGATCTCCTGTTCTTTGATCCTACTCTTAAAATGAGATCTAAAGAGAATAAAGGTATGCATTTAGTTTTGAGAAAATAGCCAGTGTTTATTGTTGGATTTATGATTAAAGGGAGGTAGAAGATAAAGGATAGCTTTTGGTAAACAGAACTAGCCTGTATTTTGAGACCATTTTATAAGAACTGTGCTAGAAGGCTTATACATGAATAATTTTACAAGGAATGAGGCTCCCACTCAAAAGGCATTTTTTATTATTATTATTTTTATTTTATTTTTTTTATTGTATTTTAGGTTTAAAAGGCATTTTAAAGAATTTTCGTATAAAAATATCTCCACCCAGGGCCTTCTTCAAAAAAAAACCCTACATAACCATAATAAACATCTACACACCCAATGACAGGGCCCCAAAATACATAAAACAAACTCTTAACAACACTGAAAAGAAAAATTGACAGTTCCACAATAATAGTAGGAGACTTCAACACACCACTCTCAGTAAAGGACAGAACAACTAAGAAGAAACTCAGCAAAGATACAGAAGACGTAAAGGGCACAGTCAGCCAACTTGACCTCATAGACATATATAGAATACTCCATCCAACCACTGCAAAGTACACATTCTTTTCCAATGCACATGGAACGTTCTCCAGAGTAGACCACATCTTAGGCCACAGAGCAATCCTCAACAAGATCCAAAACATTGAGATAAAATCACATTCAGTATTAGTGCTTCGGCTTTTTGGTGCTAATGCAGACGTGATAAGAGTCATATGTGTACACTGAATGACTAGGTTGAGAAGAAAATGGGTGGAGGACGGGGTGGGAAAAATGACAAAACCCTTTGCTCCCAGCAGTACTCATCTCCTAAAACCTGAAGGCTCTTCATGAATGTGGTTTCCATTTGGCAGAGAAAGCCACATGGTCTAAAAGAAGGAACCCTGGTCAGCTATGTAGCAAACTAGTGAGATTCCACGTATGACATACGAGGGCCTACTGGAACCTTATAATCTGTGAGGCTCTGGGGCAGAGAAGGACATGCAGGCCAAAAGCAGCTGAAGGAAAGATTAAAGTCAGCTACCATTTTTCATGAGACAGTGAATCTCTTGGGAGATAATAAAGAAGAGAAGAGAGGGAGAGATGTGAGTTTGAGGGTGTGGGAGGAGGAAGCACTGGGTAAGGATCAGGTAATTGGTTTTCTAATTTTGTGCTCCTTAAGACCCATTAAACATGAAATCATTTTTATTTCCATAACCTCAAAAAAAAAAAAAAAAAAAACCCCACCTAATCAGAGGTTCTAATGTTCAGCTAAGGAACTGTTCTGGGGTGAATTTCGTTGCTTTTAAAGCCTAGAGAAATAGCTCATCCTGGCAGCAGTTCTCGGTCATGCCATGTTATAAGCATTGCCTTTATTCTTTGTTGATTTTGATTTCTGACTGCTAAACCAGTGGCCTGCTACTCATATTTCATAGTAAAAATATAAGTGCTTTATAAAAGGACTTCAATTCCAGTTGGGTTTTTTGTCTGCCTGTTTTGGTATTGTTTCCTAACAGTTTTCTTGTCAGTCCACTAAATAAAGTAGCCAATCCCTTCATTACCCAAATACCTGGTAGACCATAATAGGTTCAAAAAGACAAAGTATTATGCCTTTTATTTATTCTTTATGGTTGCCAAGAAGCCCACATTCTTTTTTATTTTCTTAGTCCCCATCAGCAATATGAAGTGATACAGATAAATTTATCACATTTGATTCTAGTTTTTTAAAGGAGTGGGGGCTTAATTATTAAATAATCATTGAAAAGGTAAAGATTCCTTGTTAGAAATGTGGGTGAAGTTTCAAGTAGATACAGGAGACTAAATGGGCAGCTTCTGTCCAGAGGCAAGATGAGAAGGCAGAGAGCGTCAAGAGCTGGTTGAGTGGACACGGAAAATACAGGGTGGAAAGGAGGAGTGTGCTGTCACAGTATAGGGAGAGCAACTAGGGTCACATAACAATGTATGTGTAAATTTTTGTATGAGAGACAAACTTGAATTGTAAACTTTTACTTAAAGCACAACAATAAAAAATGAAAAAAAAAAAAGAGTGAAGTTTTATGTAGACCAGAGTTTCCCAAACTTTCTCAGTTTACGGTGCCCTTGCTGTCTGAGTAATTTTTTTTCTGCAGCATCCTAGGCCACAAGAATTCCCAAACAGTCTGTTTAAAGTGTAATTAGGTCCAGACAACTTAATAAATGTTTATGTCCTAACAATCTAGTAATTGTTTGAAAACATAACATAAATTGAAAGAAAAAAAATGCTACTTTTATTTCTTAAATAACCACATTTACTTACTAATGGAATGTGTGTACCTGTTGAGCACTGTGCAGCTTCTTAAATCTTGGAAATCTTCTTAAATCTTGGAAACAAAATTAGACACCACGACCCTTGTTTCCTTTTCCATATTGATTTTTTCATGGTACTTCTTTTTGTTTTTGTTTTTCACTTTTTATTTTGAACTACTTTTACCCTTACAGAAAGGTTGCAAAAAAATCGTACAGGGAATTTCCATATGTCCTTCACCCTGTCTTCCCTAATGTTAAAATCTTACATGACTGGCTATCGTATAATTATCAGAACCAGAAAATTAACATAAGTACAGTACCATTAACTAAATACCTATTTGAATTTGGCCAGTTTTCCACTAATGTCTTTTTTGTTTCATGATCCCACATTATGTTTGTTATTTCTCTTAGCTTCCTGTAGTCTTTAACAGGTCCTCAGTCTTTCCTTGTCTTTCATGACCTTGATGCCTTCGAAAAATATTATTTATCTTGCTGTATATCCCTCAATTTGAGTTTGTCTTCTGTTTTTCACATGATTGGATTGAGGTTATGCAGTTTGAGCAAGAATACGACAAAAATGATGTGCGCGGTTCATGATTTCAGTATGTATTATTACTGATGAGGCTGGGATTGATCACTTGGTTCAGGTAGCTTATGTGGGTTTTTCCACTGAAAATACTGTCTTTTCCCCTACTTTGAGACTATGGAAATCATGTTTCTCTTCAAACTTTCAACCATAGATTTTAATATCCATCAGTATGTCTCCCCCGTCTGTCTATTTAATCAATTATTTATTTATATCAGTATGGTCTCATGGATAGTTATTTTATTCCAGAGGTTATGATCCAAGACTATCATTTATTTTGTTGCTCACATTGTTCCAGTTTAACCATTGAGAGCTCTTTCAGGTTGGTCCCTGCATTCTTTCGAGAAACCCATTGCCGTTGAGTCGATTCCAACTCACAGCAACCCTATAAGACAGGTAGAACTGCCCCATAAAGTTTCCAAGGAGCGGGTGGTGGATTCAAACTGCCGACCTTTTGGTTAGCAGCTGAGCTCTTATCCACTGCACCATCAGGCCTCCTTCTTTCAACAAGCCCTATCTTTTTTTGAGCGCTTCCCAACGGCCAGTAATCCAGTTTCACAGATAGAACATTGAAAGGAATGTTAACATGATCTAATGTTGAAATTGAAGTACCTCAAGCTAGTAGTTTGTGCAGATGTTTTTCCCTGTGTTTTCCTCAAAAAGTTAAGAAACCCTTCGTTCCCGTTTTTCACTGCAATGCCCTGAGTTACCTCAGTGCAGTTTGGGAAATGCAGACTTACATTTATTTATGAAGTATCATTTAACAGTTTTAATTTGTATTTATAAGTGAGTTTGAACATACATTTTTCTTTTTAATTAAGACAACTATTACCAGAGGCATAGCTCATAGGGAATTTCTGAAAAATAAATTCCTAGTTATATTAACGTTCTTCCAAAATACTCACTTTCAGGAAATCCTTTGTTATATATGTTATATATATTTCTAGTACGACTTGTTTTTAAAATGTTTATTTCTCCTCATACAAAAATATTACAGAAATGCTAGAAACTATACAATGATACTGAGAAGTATATTTAGAAGTATTGCTTGTTTTAAATCTAAAATGAAGTATTTTTGAAGTTAATATTTTTGTTCTTGTTTCAATATAGAATTTGTGGATACAAATATTTTTATCCAGCCAATCACGGAAGAACGTGCTTCTAGGACTTTGTATCGCATTGAACTTCTAAGGAAAGTACGGGAACAGGCTCTCCGACATCCACAGTTATTTGAACGCTTAAAACTTTGCCATCCAAATCCAGACTTACCCATCTGGTGGGAATGCGGCCCTCATGATAGGGATTTGCTTATTGGAGCTGCTAAACACGGAGTGAGCCGAACAGACTATCACATTCTTCGTGATCCTGAACTCTCATTTATGGCAGCTCAAAGGAACTACAGTCAAAGTAAGATGGCTCATTCCAGGACTTCTACCCCACTTTTACAGCAATATCAAGTAGCACTTTCTGCTTCTCCTCTTACCTCTCTGCCTAGGCTCCTAGATGCTAAAGGTATAATTCTAGAGGATATGAAAGTTAAAAGTGAAAACCTTAAAGAGGAGCCTCAGTCTTCTGAAGAAGAATCTGTGTCTTCTGAGGAAACCAGGACACTAGTAAAGTCTGAGCCTGTCAGTCCAAAGAATGGTGTTTTACCACAGGCTACTGGAGATCAGAAATCTGGTGGAAAAGGAGAAACAGACAGACGCATGGTTGCAGCCAGAACAGAACCCCTAACTCCAAACCCAGCTTCTAAGAAACAGCGAGTCCACAAAAGAGGGTCAGAATCTAGTTCTGATTCTGACTCTGATTCTGAGAGGTCATCTTGTTCTTCCAGATCATCTTCCTCCTCTTCTTCCTCCTCCTCTTCCTGTTCCCACTCTCGATCAGGCTCTAGTTCTTCTTCATCCTCATCTTGTTCTTCGGCATCGTCTTCTTCCTCCTCTTCTTCTTCCTCCTCATCATCCTCTTCATCTTCGTCCGAAGAGAGTGACAGTGAAGAAGAGGAAGTCCAAAAGCGAGGTATATGCACAAATTGATTTTACCCTTATTAAGACAAAATTTCAAGTGAAAATGAAAATTAGATAAGCATGTTTAAAATTGTTAGCTTAAAATTGGTATGTACCCAATTTTTTAGAGATGTACTATTGAAAAGGAAACTAGAAGTACTGGTACGTGTTTCCTATCCAAGCATTGCAAAATGGATTAGCCAGCCCCAGGAATTCGAGGTTTTACACAATAATTTTTTCTGTGATTGCCTCAAATTTAGTATTTTATTTTTCCCTGGAACAGGTTGATCAGTGAACAAATAAAAGTAATATTTTATAATAGCCACCAGCAGCTTTCTTAGATTAAACAAAACATTTAGACTCACAAGAGTATCAGAGGCTGTACTCAGCACCCATCTACTCAGAAGGCTAGAGGACAGGAACTACAGCTTGGCAACAGACTAGTATTAGGTGGTCCTGTTTGGCAGGTGTCTTTGTAGCAGTCCAACAGTTCAGGTGCAAAGAAGTGAGGCCACATCAAGTGGGTACAGGAGCCACTCTGGCTTACAGAGCCTCATAACCCACGGGGGCCAGAATCTCCTATAACAGCCCCATAGACATAGCTCTTGGGATTGCCACAGGGACATGCCCAAATTACAAGAGTCATTTAGGGAACTGTGGTATCCCCATCAGGTATGTGTAGTCCTAGTCAAGATGCAGTCACCCAGTAAGGAGTCATTTTTATCATAAGCAGTATAGCCTGTAACGTAATTGACACATACCATCTTTACCTGTTCCCAAAGACACAGACCTAGGAAGTTCACCGAGGGTCAGATTTTCAGGCAGAAATGGTTTTGTTAAACTTTGCCCTCCTTGACACCACTTATTTTGCTTTAGTGCTAATTTTAAAAATAATATGTCCCTTATTTTTTCCTTTTTTTATTATTTGTTTTTATTTTTCAATTTATTTGAATAATCATATAAGATTTGAAAAAATATGTAAAATTGTTTTATGCAGTCCTGTGTAAATGATCATTGTTCTTAGCAGAAGGTACCCCTCACATGAAAGCCTATGATGAAGAAAGTGTTGCATCACTGAGCACTACCCAGGATGAGACTCAGGATAGTTTCCAGATGAACAACGGAACACCAGAGTCTGCTTACATCTTACAAGGTGGCTATATGCTGGCAGCATCGTATTGGCCAAAGGTAAATTAATAATTGCTTGTTGGGCTAGGCCATTTTTCTGAGTATTCTATATTGCTTTAATGGTGGGTATTCTTATGTGGAAAAATAGGTCACTGGAAAATGTATGATGACATTTATTACTATTAGGTCCATTAGATCTACTTCGCTTGTGTGTTTCTCAACAGAACCTTAAAATGTTTAGAAGAAATGGTAACGAATGTAAATGTTCCCATACAAGTTACTATTCAAGTGCTTCTTTGTGAAAGTCTTCTTGAAGAAATTTGCTGTAGCCAGTTGTGACCTAGGGAAAAAAGTTCATTTTAAGCAGGTGTATATTCAGTGATAGAAAAAGTTAAAATTGGATTTTGCAATCCTTCTTCCAGAATGTGACTAGACTAGTACAGGTTCTTTATTAACATAGTGCTGCCTCTGATCCAGAGAACTTTCAGGATTTTTAGGATTTATGTTGCTTTTATACCAAGTAATATAATTCTTATTACTATGTAAAATGTGTAAAATAAAGCACATAAAATGTCAATGTTTATTTGTAAATGTTTTGTTTTAAAATTTAGAACAAGTGTACTTTAAAGCTTAGAATTCATGCCTCTGAGCTAGTAGATTTTTCAAATTGCCCTTAATTCACTTAAGAATATAAACTGCCAAAGAAAATATGATAAGATGCTGAACTTCACTAATAATCAATGAAATGTAAATTAAGACAATAAGAAGCTACAGTTTTCCCATGAGATTAGCAAAGAGTGATAATTTAAAAATTTGCAATCATATGGAAGGATATCTGTGACAAATAAAATTTTACAAGTATATTTTACAAGAATGTATATAATACAATTTCATTTTTTATGAAAAACAGAATGTGGGGGTTGTTTGTATGTTTTAGAGTAGATGTTTATGAACAGATATAAAGAAAAGATTTTAGAAGAGTACATACCAAATTGTTATCAGTGTTAACCTCTGGGAGGGAAGTTGGAAAATGGGAGAATGGAAGATTCTCTATTGTTTTATAGACTTTTGAGTTAATTTTTCCACACTGAAGCTGTATTACTTTTGTAACTATAAAAATAAAAGAATACCCCAAGAGTATGGCCGCTAGACATCCTTTTAACTCAGTACTGAAATCACTGCTAAAGTTCACCCTTCAGCCAAAGATTAGACAGGCCTATAAAACAAACAATAACACATGTAGTTCAATCATGTATATGAGACTAAATGGGCACACCAGCCCAAAAGCAAAGATGAGAAGGCAGGAAGGGATAGGAAAACTGGATGAGTGGAAGTGGGAAACCTGAAGTCAAGAAGGGAAGAAAATTGACACATCGTGGGGTTGGCAACCAGTGTCACAAAAATTTATGTATTGTTTAATGAGAAACTAATTTGCTCTGTAAACTCTCAGGATAAGAGAGAGAAAGAAAGAAACTGTCTTTCTGAGAGAAAATATTTTTGAACCACACCAAAGGTAATTTGTACTCGAATAATTTCTTCAAAATTGTAATGTGTGTATGAGAATATGTATACATACCACATGTACATATATTGTACCAGTTTAAATCTATCAAAAATCTTGGGCCTCTTGGTCCCCGAGGGTCTGGCCTAATTATTAAATTATACTTGGATGTTGCATGTTTTTCTAGGATCGTGTGATGATCAACCGGTTGGACAGTATTTGTCAAACAGTTTTGAAAGGGAAGTGGCCTTCAGCTAGAAGAAGTTGTGATACTAATACAGTGGCCTCTTTCTATACCACAAAACTGCTGGACAGCCCTGGAGCAGCTACAGAATATAGTGAGCCCAGTGCACCCACTCCCCCAGGTGCAGGTGTTAAAGAAGAACATGATCAGTCACCACAGATGTTAAAGGTGAAGAAGCATGTACGAGAAAAGGAGTTTACAGTGAAAATCAAAGACGTATGTTTATTTTTATTGCCCTAGGACCTGATTGCGATTGCGGTGTGCAGCATGCTTTTCCTGCAAATGGCTGCCTGCTTTTACTCTTACTTCCTTCACATACTTGTTTTTTGGTATCTGGTTTGGTTTCTTTTTGTTATCCAGGTTATTAAACTTGATTATTCTACTAGAGGTATCACCATTAAATATGTTTCTCTCCCTTTACTTCTGAAAGTATTACTTCTGCTGGTCAAGATGCTTTCTTAAACAGTCTGACAATTTCTAACCAAATTGGTTCTTCTGTATCATATTTAAATGGTATGTCCGTGGATTTGTCTGTTTTAAACATTTAACGTACACTGGGTAACATTTCCGTTTTTAATACAATTTTTGAAGCTAAAGTAATTACTCAGTACCTATAATGTGAGTAATGTCCTCTAAAATACAATACGAATAATGTACATAGAGATATATGTCTAAAGCTGGCGGTGTTACAGTGTACTAACCAGATGAAAACTATTTTGTTCAGGAAGGTGTATATATAGTGCCTGGAATTTTTTTTTCCTCATTTAAGACAGGAAATTTAATATTCATTCTAGAAACTGATTAAAATATTTCCATCAATTGATTTATGAACAAGAACTTGAGTAGTGTTTCAGGGTTTTTACTTAACTCTTTCAAAGTAAAAAAATTCTCTTAATATCCTTCAGTAAGATTTAACACTTTCTTTCTTAATAATGGTATTTGTTTAACAGGAAGGTGGTTTGAAATTGACATTTCAGAAGCAAGGACTTGCTCAGAAGAGACCGTTTGATAGTGAAGATGGTGCTCTGGGGCAGCAGCAGTACCTCACTCGCCTTCGGGAGCTTCAAAGCGCATCAGAGACCAGCCTCATCAATTTTCCAAAATGTACACCAGTATCAGGTGAATATCCAAGTAAAAATTGTTTTAGTGTGGAACATCTCCTATTACTTTCAAGTCCTCTCTTATGTAGACTCCTGTAGTAAAAATGCATTTACCTTTTAATGTTGGGATTTCTCTTAAGTCTGTAATCAGTATATTTTGTTTTCGCTTTTAAATCTTAATAAATATGTATTGGAAATTTTAATAAGACATTTTAAAGCATAGAGAGAAATTTAGTTTTGGGGGCTTGAATATGTGGGTGGAAACATCATTTTGTCAAGTAGCTTTATACAGATAAAAGTTCAAATTAAAATTTCAGTATGAAAGCAAATTGGGAATTTAAAAACAAACATCTAAATTACAAGTTAATCGTCTTTGGTGGAGGAAGTTAAAATGAGAAGTTTTGGAAAAACTTTAGAGATGGTATATTCCAGGCATCTATAGGATAGAGGAGTTGTTTGTGACTAATCCCTGAAAGTTTATGGAATACTTGCAAGGACAAGGATCTCACTAGATTAAGCAGCCCTTGTTATTGTTAGGCAGATGTAATTATCAGAAATTTCTTCTTATTTGGAAGAAAAATTTGCCTGCTATACATTCTTCTCAATGACTAGATTTCTGTCTTCAAAGACAACCCAGGATTAATCTATTCCTGTGTCTATATGATAAATCTTCACAGTTTGAAAGCAGTTACTATATCTCTCTTTGGGGCATATTTCTTTTAACCTTTTGACAATTTGAGTCAAAAAATATTTATTAAATACCTAATTAGTGTTATGTGCTGTGTAGCCATTCAGGAATACATCAGAAGTTTTTTTGTTTTGTTTTTAATCTTAGTCTAGTTGGTACTTTCAGTTGTCTGTGTCCCACTTAAAGTTTTCTATCTAGAATTGAGAATGGTACTCAAGATTAACTGAGGCTCAATGTGTGGACCACAATATACTAATCCCCCAAAATGCAAGTTTAAAGCAGATGAATAGCTTCAATATCCTTTATATCCTCCTTTTACCTAAGGGCTAAGGACTCTATTTCAGTATTCTAGTAAGTCTGGCCGACGCGCAATACTTGGAAACATTTCAAAACTCCTACCATGCGTGTGAACAGTATGTGGAATTCCTACAATTTGGGAAAATAATACTTTAGTTAGAAGTGTTATTTTCAATTGATTGCTGTTTCCAGTTGCTGCTATTACCACTTTTTGATTGTAATTTAGTTAGTTCAGCTTAATCAGTATCAATTTGTTTCTTGTGCATTCATTAATCATCAGTGTAATTTTCCAACTGCTTGACTTTCAGACATGTATGCATTGCAGTTCAAATATGAACCAGCCTTTTATAACTAAATTATTAACCCCCAAAATATCCTTTATAATGACAGTTTTGTTAAGGAACTCTTCTTTCACCAGAAAATGGGAACAGGTGGGGAAGGTAAGCTGTGGGCTCTTTTGCCCAGCATAAGAGGGGCTTAATAATACAACTGCATGTACTCTGATAACACCACTATAAAACTGATACTTCTGTGAGCTTTACATTTTATTGCTATTGCAACTGAAGATTATGCAGGCTTCTCCTGTAAGTAATTCTTTGGATAATAATAGTAGTTTTTGTTGTGTCATTAGTAGCTAACATTAATTAGGCAACTGTAACCAAATATAAAAAACCTCAAGCATTAATACTATATAGAGTTATTATATAAGCATTGTATTTCATTTGTCTTAATAATTACAGATATGAAATCTAGATCTGACTTAGTCTATGATGTTTGGCAAATTTGTTAACATTTTTTGAGCTTTAATTTCCTTGTTTGTGAAATGGGGGTAGTAGAAGACAGAGGTGTGGTTGTTGGATGGATTAAATAAAACAGTATATATAAAGTGGCTACTGTAGAGCTTGGCACATAATTATATGCTGGACACATGTTAAAATTAGGTATTCACAGATTTTAGAATTAAATACTGAATAGATGCTATTATTCACATTGTTTATCTCTCAAAGTTGAAGCCCTTTTTATTTTTATCTTGGTATTCCCCCTGAGGAGCCCTGGTGGTGCAGTCGTTAAGAGCTATGGCTGCTAACCCTAAGGTCAGCCGTTCGAATCCACCAGCCACTCCTTGGAAACCCTGTGGGTCAGTTCTACTCTGTCCTATAGGGTCGCTATGAGTTGGAATTGACTTGACGGCGATGAGTTTTTCTTTTTTTTGGTATACCCACTGAATTTTATCTGAAAGCACTAGTAAAGATACAGGATGTAAAATAATTTAGTTAATGAAAGAGAGTAAAATAGCAGAGATTATAAAAGAGGACAAAACTAAAGAAACCTGTTCCATAAATTATCTGGAATACTGGAGAAAGGACTGTAGAGCCAAGCAACCTAGGGTTGAATTCTGTTATTTACTAGCCATAGTGACATCGGGCCAGTCACTTAATACTTCTGATCTGGTTTTAAAAATCTGCTTAATAATACCTCTATGTTTTTGTTTTGTTTCCTTTGTGATTATTAAAGATAGCATTTATCTTTCTGAAGCCATTGAGTCTGTATGAACCCCCAAAACTATGCCCTGAGATAACCTTTAAACCTTAAATCAAAAATCTCCCCTGAATTCTTCTTTAAACTGAACGGTAGTTTAGCTTAACTAGTAGAGAATGTCAACCCTGAGCATTGTGCTCTTTAAAGAACTATCTGTATGGGATCAAACTGACAACAGCAACTCAAAAGATTAAATAGAAACTTAGGGGGCAGTGAGTTTACCTTAATGGATGAGGAACAATTCAAAAAAGGAGAGTAAAAATGGTTGCACAACTTAAAGAATATAATCAGTGTCACTGAATTGTACATGTAGAAACTGATGAATTGGTTTATATTCTGTGTATATTCTCAACGACAACAAAAAAATAAAATAAATTTTAAAAATAGATAGCATTTATGAAGCCTAGTCTGGTGTCTGGCACCTAATAGACATTCAGCGTTGTTGCCTAACTGCTCTGGCTAGGACTTTCAGTACAGTGTCAAATAGCAGTGGGGAAAGCAGGCATCCTTGTCCTGTTTCTGATCTTAGAAGAAAAGCTTTTCAGTCTTTCACCACTGAGTGTGATTTTGTTGTTAGTTGATGTCTAGTCAGTTCTGACGCATTCGACCCCGTGTGAATAGGGTATAACTGCTCGATAGGGTTTTCAAGGCTCTGATCTTTCGGATGCAGATTGCCAGGCCTATCTTTCGAGACTCCTGTGGGTGGGTTAAAACCACCAACTTTTTGGCTAGTAGTTGAGCGCTTAACTAAATGCCAGGGACTCTTAGGCATGTAGTAGAAGGAAGCTATTTCTAATATTGTTATAGTTAGATCTAAGATAAAGATACGGATTTTATAAAGTAGGCTAAATTTTCCATTTTGGATTCTAGCTAAAAAAGAATCAGTAATATTTATGAAAATCACCTTCTAGTAGTATATAATTTAAACAGAGAATGGCCAAATTGAGGTACGTTTATAAATGTACATTCTAGTGTGTATGCAAATATTCTTCCAGTAACTTATTCCATACATGTTTATTAAGTACTTTTCTTTTTTATATAGCACTGGGATAGCACTAAAGGGAAAGTAAAAGAAATATGAGACACTGTCTCTACATTTCAGCTGATTAACTAGACATATACATTAAAATATTAAACAATACATTAAAAAAAAAAAATAGACCCCTGGACTCTCTATCAGCCCAGAACTAAAACAGTTTCTGAGGCCAACTCTTCAGACAGGGATTGCACTGGACTGTAGGACATAAAGTGATACTCGTGAAGAGTGTGCCTCTTAGTCAAGTAGATACAAGAGACCAAAGGGGCAGCTTCTGTCCAGAGGTGAGATGGGAAGGCAGAGAGAGTTAGGAGCTGGTTGAATGGTCATGGGGAATCAGGAGCAGAAAGGAGGAGTGTGCTGTCGCAGAATGGGGTGAGCAATTAGGGTCTCCTAACAATGTATTATAAAAATTTTGTATGGGAGACTAACTTGAAATGTAAACTTCATTTAATTACAACAATAATAAAATAAAAATGTACATACTATAATTAAAAAAAAAAAAAGAAATTGTTCCACATCCGACTTCGGTGAGCAGCATCTAGAGTCTTAAAAGCTTGCGAGCGGCCATCTAAGATACATCTGCTGCTCCCATCCTGTCCAGAGCAAAGGAGAATGCAGAAAATCAAAGACACAAGGGGAATATTAGTCCACAGGACTAATTGACCACAAGTACCCCAGACTCCATCAGTCTGAGCCCAGAACAACTACATTGGTGGTGCCCGCTATAACCCCTGACAGCTCTAACAGGGACCACAACAGAGGGTTCTGAACAGCAGGAGAAAAATGCAGAACAAAAATGAAAGCCACAAAAAAAGACTAGACTTGCTGGTCTGACAGAGACTGGAGGAACCTCGAGACTATGAACCCTGGACACCCTTTTAACTCTGAACTTAAGTCACTCTCTTCAGCCAAAGATTTACTAGACCTATTTAGGTCTATAAAACAAACAATAATACATGTGTACGAGACTAAATGGGCAACACCTGCCCAAAAGGAAAGATGAGAAGGCAGGAAGAGACAAGAACACTGGACGAATGGAAATGAGGAACTCAGGGTGGAGAAAGGGAGAGTGTTGACACATCACAGGGATTGCAACCAATGTCAAAAAACAATTTGTGTATGAATTGTTGAATGAGAAACTAATTTGCTCTGTAAACTTACACCTAAAACACAATTTAAAAAAATGAAAAGAAAAAAAAAAAGTAGAGGCCTAGATTACAGTTCTCCAAATTTTTAAATGAGAATTGGAGGTGATGCGTTTAACAGTTGCTTGATTTAAGATGTGTAAAATAAAAAGTACCATTTTCATATAATGAGAATAAGGATTACTTTTAATTTTTTTTAAGAACTAGATTTTTATCATTAATTTACATTTTTAATTTGATTAGGTACTTCCATTCAGTCAACTCTTGGTGCCAATGGAGTGATATTAGACAACCAGCCTATAGTTAAAAAAAGACGAGGAAGGAGGAGGAATGTAGAAGGTGTTGACATCCTCTTTTTTAATAGAAACAAACCACCTAATCATGTAAGTAAAGCAATAAATAAAAACTACTGACTCTTGAGTTGAGTAATCAATCAGTGTAATGAACAGACGTATTACTATTTTGTGAATGTTTTTTAGAATAATAATCATAAGGAAATTAGAAATACACTAGTTTTAGATAGTGTATCAGTAGAATCAGACGCTGGCCAAGGTCCATGAAAATTTTAGATTTGAAAAATTTAGCAGAATTTTTACTTTTTCTCCTTCAAAAGTAATTGCTTCATTGGGATCAAAATTAGAATGAAAAAGCATGTAAATAAAATTTTCACATGGTGTTTTTCTACAGGTTACTATAGGCATAACCACCTCACAGATTTCTGCAGGGATAAATCCAGCACTTTCTTATACTCAACCTCAAGGAATACCTGATATGGAAAGTCCAGTTCCAGTTATTAACCTTAAAGATGGGACGAGACTTGCAGGGGATGATGCACCGAAGAGGAAAGATTTGGAAAAATGGCTTAAGGAGCACCCAGGTTATGTGGAAGATTTAGGAGCGTTTATTCCTGTAGGTGATACCTTAAAAATTTTGGTATATTTTATTTGTATGATTTGTCAAACCTATAGTGATGAAACTTGAATTCTCATCTATTTATGCTAAATATTTCTCCTGGCCTAGACTTAGGAAAATTACAGAAAAAAATAATTACCATCTTCTCCATGATACAATACAGCATCATTTTCCAGTTATCCTTTCTAAATGCGACAAGTATTTGGTAATAAAAATCACCTCCGATATACAGAGTACTGTGTTAGGCTCTGAGGGAGCCCTGGTTGGTACAGTGGTTAAGCACTCGGCTGCTAACCAAAAGGTCACCAGTTTAAACCCACTGGCCGCTCCACAGGAAAAAGATGTGGCAGTCTGCTTCTGTAAAGATCCCAGCTTTGGAAACCCTATGGGGTAGTCCTACTCTGTCCTGTAGGGTCACTATGAGTCAGAATCAACTCGACAGCAGTGGGGTTTTTTTTTGTTTTTGTTTTTTTAATTAATATTAGGCTCAATAAAGGTTACAAAGGAATGAAACATCTAATCCTTTCCCTCGAGAAGTTTATTTAAAAATTATAATGATTATCATAATGAACATTCACTGCGACTTAGCTATGTGTCTGGCATTATACTTAGCAATTTGTATGTCATTTAACACTCACAACAATCCTATGAGGATGACATCATTATAACCATTTTAAATAAAGAAACTGAAACAGAGATTTTACATGAATAGTCCAAGGCCACACGGCTAATAAGTTTAAACTCCAGAGTCCAGCCTACTACTCTAGACCTATAACCTCAGTGTTTAATTAATTTTAAACTCTTCTTCAAGCTATAGGAATACAGCTTCTGTGTCTCTCCAGATGCACAGTGAGTTTCCGTTAATCAAAGATGAGAATCATTATTCTTAATTTGCATTCTCCTTATCCTCTGAAATGATGTTTACTCACCATCTTCTTCTAGGCATATGCTCCCTTACTCACACATAGGAATCTGTATTTGATTTTGCAGTACTTTACTATCAGATGCTGATGTACCAAATTTTGTGTCAGCAACCTTTGACATTTCTGTGTACTTTATAAGTAAAAGAGTAAAGCATCTCCTCTATTCAGTGAAGCTAGCAGGGCCTGTCCTGTCTACCACCATTATGAAGATTAAATAGATAACCCAAGTAAAGCTGTCCACTATCCTGTGCACTCCACCTTTGTATCCTCAGGACCTAGCACATAATTCCTAATGCACAGCATAGTGTCTAGTTCCCCATAAATATTTACTGAGTACATAATTAAAACAAGAAAATCCTTTGAAAACTACAAAGTACTATATAAAGGAAAAATGGTGGTTATTTTATTAGCCAAAAAAATTAATTCCTTTTGCCGGGGGGAGGAGGTCATGAAAAAGAACCACAAAAGTTGTAGCTCCTAGAATGATCTTTGTGATACTTAGATCTAGTAGTTCACATTGCTGCTGTTGTCACCAGGAAACAACCTGCTAGTCTAAAACAGGGAGCCTCAATGTTGGCTTTTAGATGTTTTTAATATCTCTAGTTTTCTCAGAGGATGCTTCATGTTCTCAAATAGCATTTGTTTAAATTCTTTAAAAAAAAAAAAAAAGGCAGTCTTATAAGTGTGGTGGGAAGAGTTTTCACTAAATAAGATGGACAACTATAGAATGAATATTGTAATTTTTGAAGATAATGAGAATCACTAGCTTCTTAACATGTTAGCAAAATAACATTCATTTATTCATTCAACAAATTTTTATTGAGTGGACTACTCTGTGTGTGTTACTATTTTAAGGGATTGAGGATATAACAGTGAACAAGGTAAAGTTCTTGCCCTCATTTCTGAATGATTCACAAGCTTTTCTCTTGTCACTGCAACAGTCTTTATTAATTTTTTTGTTAACTTTTATAGCCGTTCATCATTTTCACTACAAATGAGCCCTTTACCATGATACTTTATATAATGCTTTATTATTAAGATTTTAAAACATGTTCTCCTAAACCATAGCTGTGTGAGACGTGTCCTCCAAAGGATGGATGGATTAATGAATGGGTGAGTGAGTGAATGCATGAATGGACAAAATGAATTTCTATCTTGTAGATAATCAAATTGACTCATAACACATCTGATGCCAAAGGCATTTACCCAAATTCCCATACTCTGTATGAAGCCTTTGCATCAGAACCCTACATAAATTTGCATTAATGCCTTCTTGTCCCTCCAAGTGTCACACTTGGAATTCTGTAAACCAGTTCATTCCTTTGCTTCCTTCTTTCCTCTCCCAGCCCTCTGAGTGTGTATTCTTTTCCAAAGAAGACATCAGAGCCAGTTACTGCACACAGATCATCTCTTGGCTGAACTTTTTGTTGGTAGCCAAGGAAGAAGGGGAAAAAATTAGAAAATTTTCTATTTTAGGAGCATTATTATTTTCATTAATTGTAAGAGGTGCTATCACTCTTATCATTATTTAGAAGGTCCCTTTAGTCCAAGCCGTATTACCTCATTTAAAAAAACCAACAAACCAAAAAAAACATGTATTTAAAAGCAGCATTTGTTGCAGTAAAGAATACAAGATAATTTGTGTGATTTCCCAAGTGTACTTTATATTAATGATCTGTTGTGTTTCTCAGTGGCTAAATAATTGTAACATGGTGTAGTATATACTATAACAGAGGTGTGTTTGAAGTGCCATGGGAAAAGATAAAATAACAATTCTACCTGGGCAAAATGGTGTAGGGAAAGTAGAGCTAACATTTGACTGGGAGATGAAAGAAGAATAAGTAGGCATTGACCAGATTAACACGAGAGGAGAAGTATATTCTAGACATTATAGACCAATACGAAGGGAGTTAGAAGAGGATACAACTGTCAGCATATTCATAAAACACTGACTAGACTGATCGTAGGGTCGCTATGAGTCACAATCGATTCGACGACACACAGCAACAATCTGATAGCAGGAGTCCCTGGGTGGCGCAAATGGTTAAGTGCTCAACTACTAGCCGAAAGGCTGGTGGTTCAACCCTACCCAGAGGCACCTCAGAAGGCGGGCCCAGCGATCTTCTTCAGAAAAGTCACAGCCTCAAAAACCCTATGGAGCAGTTCTACTCTGCACACATGGGGTCACCATAGTCAAAATTGACTTGACAGCAGCTAACAACCACAACAAAGTTTGATATTCTAGAGTATGGGGGGAAATGATTGGAGTAATAGTAACTGGATGGAAAAACTGAATTAGATCTAAACTATGCTGGGACTGGTATACCATGCTGAAGAGTTTCAGTGTTAGTCTCCTGGAATGTTTTGATTGGTTGGAAATAGCTTTAAACATCCAGCCCTGCTTTATTAACAGTTGTAGAAGTGAGCAGAATGGTATGATGGAAAGAGTTTTTATTTTTATTATCAAACATGAGTTCTTAATCTGTCTCTGCCACTTGCTCTACCTGTATGATCTTGAGGAAGATAACCTGCCTGAGCATTGGTTTCCCCTTGTAAAATAAGAATAAAACCTCTTGGTGTTATTGTGAGGATTACATGAGAAGAGATAAGAAAAACCATAAGTGGAATGGAAAATCTGATAAATTTAAGAAACAGGAGAAAAAGTAAAGAACCATACAATTTAGAGGAAACTGCCCCTTCAGGTATCACCCTTCCAGAAGATCGTGGTCTTTAAGGGCTTTAAGGAAGGAACTAGCAAAAGTTCTTCTCATTTCAGGAGACAATCAAAGCACCCTGCTTTCATATAGAACCATAATTGTGGTCATTATGATGGCCTGGGATAGTTTTTAAATGTACAATTTGAGGAAGAGGATCATGCAATACATTTTAATGTATTTTTAATGTGTGAGTAACTAAATGGTAAATGCATCAGTGTTACTTGTATCAGCTAATTTATAATATTTTCAATAGTTTTGCATAGGTAAAGATTTTAAAGCTATTTCTTTGTCTGTATATTTTAGAGAATGCAGCTTCATGAGGGGAGGCCAAAACAAAAAAGACACCGTTGCAGAAACCCCAATAAATTAGATGTTAATAGTCTCACTGGAGAAGAACGTGTTCAGCTGATTAACAGAAGAAATGCTAGGAAGGTATTTATATATTTGTTGTTAATTTTTATATTGGTTCAATATAAAAAATCTTTAGAACATTATTTAATTATGCAGTATTTTCTAGCAGAACTGGAAATGGGTTGAATGAAGCAGATTTGTGGGGAAAGACATGGACTGTAATTTCAGGCAGCCTAATCTCAAATCCCATATCTTTGATTAAGCTATTGAATGAAATAAGCATGTCACTTAACAAATCTGTGCCTAAGCAGTGCCATTACGTATCGTTGTGCACTGCACAAGGGCACTACATCTAAGGCAGTGGTTCTCAACCAGGGATATTTTTACCTTCCATAGACATGTAGCAATGTCTGGAGACACTTTTGGATGTCATAATTTAGCAGGGAGGGGTACTATTGGCATCTAGCAGGTTGTACCCAAGGTTGCTGCTAAACATCTTAACAATGCATAGGACAGTCCCCACAACACAGTCCAAAATGTCAATAGTACCATGGTTGAGAAACCCTGACCTAAGGGGACACCATTGACATCTTAGCCATCATAGATTTGTGTAGTCATCACTGCAGTTTTCTACGAGATGATAGTAAAGTCTCTTTTTCTATCAAAATCATCATAATTATCTGATAGATGAAAACAGATATCTTAAGGAAAGAGCACCTTCTAATTTGCACAAAGGTACCTTGTAGTCTTATAGATAATATATTCATCTTCTTCTTTTATTGACTGATGCATGGTAAAAATTCACGTTTTTCAAAGTGTATTTCTGAAGCAATATGCCTTAACATTTGTTTCACCAAATTGCTTCTGTTTTCTGTTTGGATTGCTATATACCTACTCCCTACTTATCAACTATCGTGTTATCTGACATTCTTATTTACAACAATAGTAAAAAAATCTACTGTCAAACTATTTTGTGCATTAATGATGTACATCTGGCAGTAACAAACACCAAGGTGCAAGGCGAGAGTAACGCAGGCTGTGATGGTTAAGGTTGTATGTCAGCTTGACTGGGCCATGTTATTCAGTGGCTTGGCAGTTATGTAATGATGTAATAATGTGATTTGGTAGTTGTGTAATGATGTAGTTATCCTTTTTTGTAATCTGATGTGATCATCCTCCATTTTCATATAACGCCAATTTTTGCATAACGGCCTAGTCTTTGGAAACTAACCATGTTGATAAGTGAGGAGTGGGTGTAGATCCTTTTTATCTCACAGTACATGATAGAAGACTTGTGGCACCCTTTTGTAAATTTATCACTTTGACACACTGTTTTGTTCTGATAAGGAAGCAACAAAAAAAATAATAAAGACAAATGGCCTTAGAGTAAGAAGAGCAAATTTCTCAAGTTCTATCACTTGCAAACTAAATTACCTTACATAACTCATGTTAATTCCCTGGTTCTGTTTTGCTCGCTATTAAATGCCCTTACTGCTGGGATAAAAATACATAAGCATCAGGAAAATGATGTATAAACAAAGTAAAAACAGCAATAATGAGATAGAAATTATAAAAAGGAACCAAACAAATTCTGGAGCTGAAGAGTACAATAAGTGAAATGAAAAATTTGCTAGAGGGGTTCAACAGCGATTTAAACGGGCAGAAGAAAGAATCTGAGAACCAGAATATAAGATAATTGAAATTATCAAGTCTGAAAAACAAAAAGAATAAAGAAAACTGATCAGAGCCTAAGTGACCTTTTTATTTTTGTAAGGTTGGTAGTAATGGCCCCACTTTCATTTTTAATTTCAGTTATTTGCATCTTCATGCTTTTTTTCTTGGTCTAGCTAAAGGTTTAGAAATTTTCAAAGAACCAACTTTTTGGTTTCATTGATTCTGTTTTTCTTTTATATTTCATTCATCTCTAATCTTTATTATTTTTTTCCTTCTGTAATCTTTGAGCTGAATTTACTGTTCTTTTTTTAGTTTCTCAAGGTGTAAACTTAGGTTATTGTTAAGAGATGTTTCTTTTTTTGTAATGTAACCAGGATTATAAGGAAAACTATAAACAATTATGCCAACAAGTTAGGTATTCCATATGAAATGGACAAATTCCTAGAAACACACAAATTACCTAAACTGACTCAAAAAGAAGTAGACAATCTGAAGAGACCTATAAGAGGTAAAGAGATTGAATCAGTAATCAGAATCCTACCAACAAAGAAAACTCCAGGACCAGATGGCTTCACTGGGTCAATTCCACCAAACATTTAAAGAATTAACACCAATCCTTTTCAACGCTTCCAAAAAATAGAAGAGGAGGGCTACTTCCTAACTTATTCTATGAGGCCAGCATTATCCTGATGCCAAAGCCAGATAAAGACATCACAAGAAAAGAAAATTACAAACCAGTATCCATTATGAATATTCGTGATAAAATCTTCAGCAAAATACTAGTAAGCTGAATCCAACAGTATATTAAAAACATTATACACCATGACTGTCATGGATTGAATTGTGTCCCCCCAAAATATTTGTCAACTTGGCTAGGCCATGATTCCCAGTATTGCGTGATTGTCCACCATTTTGTCATCCAGTTTGATGTTCCTTTGTGTTGTAAATCCTATCTCTTTGATGTTCATGAGGTGGAATTAGTGGCAGTTATGTTAATGAGGCAAGACTCAATCTACAAGATTAGGTTGTGTCTTAAGTTAATCACTTTTGAGATGTAAAAGAGAGTAGCAAGCAAAGAGACACGGAGACTTCATACCACCAAGAAACAAGAGCCAGGAAGATAGCGCGTCCTTTGGACCTGGGATCCCTGCGCTGAGAAACTCCTCGACCGGGAAAGATCGATGACAAGGACCTTCCCCCAGAGCCAACAGAGACAGAAAGCCTTCCCCTAGAGCTGCACCCTGAATTTGGACTTCTAGCCTACTAGACTGTGAGAGAATAAATTTCTCTTTGTTAGAAAGCCATCCACTTGCGGTATTTCTTTTATAGCAGCACTAGATAACTAAGACAGTGACCAAGTGGGATTTATCCCAGGAGTGCAAGGGTGATTCAACATAAGAAAATCAATCAGTGTAACATACCACACTAGTAGAATGAAGAAAAAACACACACACGATTACCTCAATTGTTGCAGAAAAAGCACTTGACAAAATCTAGCAATGTTTCATGATAAAAACACTCAGAAAGCTAGGAATAGAAGGGAACTTCCTCAACATGATAAAAAGCAGTTATAAAAACCCACAGGTAACTTCAGACTCAGTGAAAGGCTGAAAGTTTTCCCTCTAAGATCCCAGAATAAGACAAGGATGCTTGCTTTCACCATTGCTATTCAGCATTGTACTGGAAGTTCTAGCCAAACCAGTTAGGCAAGAAAAAGAAATAAAAGACATCCAAGTTGTAAAGGAAACAGTAAAACTATCTTTATTCACGGATGACATGATTCTGTATAGCGAAAATCCAAAAGAATCCACAAGAAAGCGACTCGAGCTAATAAATTTAGCAGAGTTGCGAAGTAGAAGATCAACACTCAAAAATCAGTTGTACTTCTATACACCAGCAGTGAACAACTTGGAAATTAAGAAAATGATTTCATTTAAATGGCATCAAAAGAATAAATTACCAAGGAATGAATTTAACCAAGGAGATGAAAGACTTTTAACACCAAAAACTGCAAAACATTGCTGAAATAAATAAATGGAAAGACATCCTGTGTTGGAATACTTAATATTATTATTAAGATGGAAGTACTATCCAAAGGGATCTACAGGTTCAACACAATTCCTATAAAATTCCTTTCTTGAAGAAGTGGAAAAGCCCACCCTCAAATTCACATGGAATTGCAAAAAACCAACAAAACCCATTGCTGTTGAGTTGAATTCCAACTCATAGCGACCCTGTAGGACAGAGTAGAATTGCCCCATAGGGTTTCCAAGGCTGTAAATCTTTATGGAAGCAGACTGCCACGTGATTCTTCCGCAGAGCCACTGGTGGCTGAACCATCATCCTTTAGGTTAGCAGCCGAGCACTTAATCTAGCACTTAACCTTAGCCAAGCTAAGTCAAGCACTTAGCTACCAGGGCTCCCGAATAGCCACCACAATCTTGAAAAATAAAACAAAATTGGAGGACTCACACTTCCCAATTTTAACACTTCTTACAATGCCACAGTAATCAAAACAGTGTGGTACCGGCATAAGGACCAATGCATTAGAATTGACAGTCCAGTAATCATGCATTTATGATTTTTGGGAAGGTTGCTAAGTTCATTCAATGGACAAAGAATAGTCTTTTCAAAAAATGGTGCTTTGTGTACACCAGTGTTAATTGAAGAATTATTCACAATAGCCAAAAAGTGGAAACAACCCAGTTATCCATCAACAGATGAATGGATAAACAGAATGTGGTATATCCATACAATGGAATATTATTCAGTCATAAAGTTCTGATACATGCTGCAACATGAAGAATCTTGAAAACATTATATTAAGTGAAATAAATCAGTGACAAAAGGACAAATACTGTATGATCCCACTTACATGAAATATCTAGAATAGGCAAAAGCACAGAGACTAAAGTTTATTAATGGTTATGGGCTCAGGGGAGGAGGAAATTGGGATTTATTGCTCAAGGTATACTAAGTTTCTGTTTGGGATGATGAGAATTTTTGGAAATGGATGGTGGTGATGGTTGGCGAATGTAATTAATGTCCCTGAACTGTACAGTTACAATTGTTTCAAATGGCAAATAGTAGCACTGCCCCATAGGGTTTCCAAGGCTATAATCTTTACTGAAGCAGAATGCCACATCTTTCTCCCTTGGAGCAGCTGGTGGGTTCACACCGCCGACCTATCAGTGAGCAGCTGAGCATGAACTTTTGATTCCTGGCTTCGAATCTGGATCCTGCCACTTAACCGTGGCTTTAGGCAAATTATGTAACTCTTCTGAGGCTCAGTTCCTTCATTTGAAAAATAGAAATAATACTGTCTCACAAGAACAAAGTGAAAACTGAAAGAAGTTACATATTTAAAGTCATTTTCACAATACTTGGTATATATTGCAGCATTACAATACTTGGCATAACACGTTCCAGAAGGTATGTATGAAAGTATTCTCACTGGTCTTGGCATATGATAATAACGTATGTTTATTATGTGCCAGGCACTGTGCTAAGGCACTCAAATTACCTCGTTTTATCTTAATGAAACCCTGTGAGGGAAGTATTATTTTTATACCATTTGACAAATCAGGAGACTGAAGCTCAAAGAGAGTTACTGATTTGCTCAGATTCACAGAACTGATAATTCTGACACCAAAGGATATACTCTTAACTAGGCTATACTGTCTATCCAACATAGTAAGTATATAGTAAATGTCAGTTATTCATTAATAAACTTAAACATTTAAAATTTATATTACCATATGTGTATATAGTATATCAATAGTCTATGAGTTGTGGTGGGCCTTTTTAACAAAATCATCAAGATCATTGAAAGTGGTTCAAAGAATACCCATGTTTTGAATAAATAAACTGTCAAACACAATAAAAGCAAGAAATATCATTTCCCTATTTAATAGTGTTTTAGGTAGCTAACTTGTTTTGTTTTGTTTTGTTTTCATTTGCAGGTTGGAGGTGCGTTTGCTCCCCCATTGAAAGATTTATGTAGATTCCTGAAGGAAAATTCAGAGTATGGAGTAGCTCCTGAATGGGGAGAGGTTGTGAAGCAATCTGTGAGTATTTTACAAATATTAACTCAGTCATCATTTTAAAAATTAGATGTCATTTAATTATATCTTAGATTGAACTTTAAGTTAAGAATTAACAAAATATTTCAAGAACATGTGCCAGTGTTCTTTAGTTCACAATTTTTATTTTGCAGAACAGGTTGCAGATTTCTCGGTTGCTTGTCGAATTAGAATATAAAATCAGTATACAGTAGCCTCTTCATATCCACAGTTTCGCTTTCCATGGTTTCAGTTACCCACAATTGACTGTGGTCTGAAATATAGTACAATAAAATATTTTGAGAGAGACCACATTCACGTAACTTTTATTACAGTGTATTGTTATAATTGTTCTATTTTATTATTAGTTATTGTTAATCTCTTACTGTGTCTAATTTATAAATTAAACTTTATCATAGGTATGTATGTCTAGGAAAATCATAGTATATATATATATATTGGGTTTGGTACAACTAGCAGTTTCAGGCATCCACTAGGAGTCTTGGAAGTTATCCCCCGTGAATAAGGGGGGGACTGCTGTATACTGATTTGTTTTTATTTTAGCCTCTAAGATACCGCAAAGAAAAATCAAAGATGTTGGCAAAGAAATATATGTAAGGAAATTCTTCATGGTATCAAAAAAAAAAAATACCCGTTGCCGTTGAGTTAATTGCAACTCATGGCAACCCCAAGTGTCACATTGTAGAATTGCTCCATAGGGTTTGCTTAGCAGTAATCTTTATGGAAGCAAATTGCCAAGCCTTTCCTTCACAGTGCTGCTGGGTGGGTTTGAACCACCAACCTTTACGTTAGTAGTCAAGTGCAAACCGTTTGCGTCACCCAAAGACCAGTATTCATGGAATATCAGTGAAAATTTGGGAATAAACTAATGTTTTGTACAACTACTTTAAAAATTATATCTTAGAAAAACATCTAATGACAAGGGAGAAAGAATTCACAATCTGTTAAATGGGGTAGTAGTTAAGCTCTTGGAATAGTGAAGCCTAACCATGTGGTAAGTGCTAAATAAATAATAGCTATTATTTTTACAGATATCTGAATGAAAAAGGCAGGCTTTAATATGATTCCAGTTTTTTTAGTTTAGAAAGACAGGTGGGGGAGAATTGTGTAATGTGTATATATATATGCATAGGAAAAAAATGGAAGAATACATCCTGAAGTGTTAGCAATAGTTATAACGGAATGGTGAGATTTTTAGATGACTTTTTTCTTTGTATTTTTTGTTTTTCATGTTTTCTGCAGTAAGCACTAATACTTCTTTTACTAGAACAGATAAGTTGGTCAATTTAAAATAAAAAAAAAAGTATTTCCATGAGATTCTTTGTCTAAACTGCCGTCTAGAGCTGCACTGCCACAATTGGTAGCCACTAGGCACATGAGCCCTGGTGGCGTAGTGGTTAAGAGCTCAGCTGCTAACCAAAAGGTCAGCAGTTTGAATCTACTAGCTGCCCTAGGAAGCCCTACGGGACAGCTCTACTCTGTCCTATAGGGTCGCTATGAGTCGGAATCAACTCGATGGCAGCAGAACAGGTTTGGTTTTGATTTTTTTAGGCGCATGTGGCTGTTGAGCACCTGAAATGTGTCTAGTCTAAATTGAGATGTGTTTTAAGTATAAAATACACACTGGATTTATATTTCAAAGTCTTAGCTCAAAAAGTGGTGGTTCAAAAATACATATTACAAATTAAAATGATGTTCTCATTATGTTGTTTTAAGTAGTCTATATTACTAAAATTAATGTCGCTTTTTTTTTTTTTTTTAACCTTTTTTAGTGTGGCTACTAGAAAATTTAAAATCACATAGGTAGCTTGCGTTGTATTTCTGTTGGACAACACTAGTCTCGAGGTTCTAAACTCCTAAAACATCTAGGAGTTTTGAGCCCCAGAAAATCATGGGAGAATTGCAAGAAAGTAGCATAGATTGTTCTCTCTTGTCCCGGACCAAGTGACTCCCAACCTGCAGATGCTACTGCTTTTCTTGAGCCAAGTGATTTTTTCCCCTCTTGAGTAATAACATTCAGCTTAGCCCTAAGTCCCTTACTCCCAAAGTTACCATCAAAAGCTTCACATGAAGCATCTCATTTTAGCCTTAATCTTTCCCTTCTCCCTGTTTTCCTTATTGTTCTTCCAGATTAGAAGGGGGCCACTTATTCAGGCTAGAGCAAGTGGTGATACAAAACATGTAAGGGTTATGGAAGTACTCACGAAAAAATGTCTCTGGATCTGAGATTTTCTAGAACTATTCTACAAACTCATGCCTCATATTGTGGCGGAAAGCCAAAAGCTTCCTTCTGCTCTCGTTCTACAGTGGGATGAGAAGTAGACAAGCTTCCTTAAGCCACTACTTACGATACAATGAAATAGGTTATCTCTTTTCTAATTGATTATTTTATATCAATACAGAATGAGTTTATGAATTACTTATTATTATTAGTAGGTCATTTGTATGACTAGCTAATAGCTATTGATTTTATTTTTCACATAGCTGTTATTAACAAATACATATATATAATTATTCCAGGGATTTCTTCCAGAAAGTATGTATGAACGTATTCTCACTGGTCCTGTTGTAAGAGAGGAAGTAAGCAGGCGAGGGAGACGGCCTAAAAGTGGGATTTCGAAGGCTGCTGCGGCAGCGGCAGCAGCAGCTGCAAACGCCACAAGTGTTTCAGGCAGTCCTTTGTTAGCCAATGGATTACTTCCAGGTGTGGATCTGACGACTCTTCAGGCCTTACAACAAAACCTACAAAATTTGCAGTCACTGCAGGTAACTGCAGGGCTGATGGGAATGCCTGCTAGCCTGTCTTCTGGAGGAGAAGCTAAAAACATGGCCGCCATGTTCCCCATGCTGCTGTCAGGAATGGCTGGATTACCAAATCTGTTGGGCATGGGAGGACTCCTGACAAAGCCTACAGAATCTGGGACAGAAGAGAAAAAGGGAAATGACTCTAAGGAGCTAGAAGGAAAAAAAGAAAGGACAGAGAGCCAAAATTCAGAGAATGGTGGAGAAAACTCTGTGTCAGGTTCTCCTTCAACGTCCTCTTCTGCTGCATTAAATACAGCTGCAGCTGCCAACCCGTTAGCTCTTAACCCACTATTACTATCGAATATACTTTATCCAGGGATGCTTCTCACTCCAGGCCTTAATCTTCATATTCCAACTTTGTCCCAGTCCAATACTTTTGATGTACAGAAAAACAAAAACAGTGACTTAGGCTCATCTAAGTCTGTAGAAGTAAAGGAAGAAGATTCCAGAGTCAGAGATCAGGAGGACAAAGGGGGAACTGAGCCAAGTCCTGTCAATGAAAACAGCACAGATGAGGGTTCAGAAAAAGCCGATGCTTCATCTGGATCTGATAGTACGTCATCGTCCTCCGAGGATTCAGATTCTAGTAATGAAGACTGATTCCTAAACTCTGCACTTAAATTATGAACTGATTTTGGATTCTTTTTCTTTAATTATTAATTGTAAATATCCCAGTGTTGAGTGCATCAATAACTTACTGACCGAACATTTCAGTTATTTGTTTAGAAGTGCAAACTGCTTTCAGAGACATTTTGCATGTAATATTTCTTAAGATTCATAAGTTTCTGAACTCGTATGTACTATCAAATACATAAAGGTGTAAAATTACAACAAAAGGCATTATAATTTTGTTGGGGGTTAATTTTATGAAAATTATGCTCGATAAGAGTTGTATAATATATTTGCAGTAAACACAGAATACTTTATGCATATTACTGATTTAATTTGAATATAGTTTTACAGCCTCCTTGACACCTATAATTTACAGATCAAAACTCAGCAATAATTTGGGCAGCTAATGAATGTCATGAAAGCTGTAGAATCTACATCACCATCCATTGCTTTAATTACATGAAAATGCTCTAGTGTTGTGATGCACTGCTGATGTTTCCAATTCAGGTACAAGTTTGTTTTAAAGAAGAAATAAGTTTCCCAATCAGCCAATTTAACTGGCTACCTGTTACCTCAGCTGAGTTAGTTTAGGAAGTTTACATTCGTTTCTAATTCTATACTTGTTTTCAGGGGTTTTTTAAACACATCCTATATATCATGTTAATCTGGCAAGAAATAATGACTTGCTTTTTGCTGAGCTTAACTTTGGTATCAGTGAAAGTAAGTCATAAAATAATCCTGTGTCATGTGACTTTGGCACCCTATAGACATACTTATTTTTAACTTTTCAAAGTTTGGCCTCCTATTAGAAATAATTATGTCTCTGATTGAGTAGTGTCTGTTTCCAGGGTTCAGAAAAGGCAAACTGATGAATGCCACTGAAAAGAACTTCAACACAGCATACGTCATGTAAAAGAAATCGTTTGTTTGCTTTCTTTGTGTTTTATGTCATAGAATTCTTCCAAAATTAACAAATAGTGGTAAAGTAATATGCAGATATTCTAAATTCATTTGAGTTTCTAGGTGTAAGCAGATTAAATGTTGCCCAGAATCAGTGTTGGGTTATCAGTTTATATTAAATATGCTGAGTTGCCCATTTTGAAAATGCACTTTGAATAATCTCAAAAAGATAAACAAGTTATACCTATAAACCACAAAAACGAAGCCAAAGGCTTCTGTTCAATTTCTTAGAACCCTTTACCCTGTAAAATTTGTCTGATATTTGATTTCTGATACAATTTCTCCTGCTTAAGCTGCTATTATTCTGACAAGGTAGAGATCCAGGTTTACCTTCATATATATTTAAAACAATTAGAACTAAATTGGACTTAAAAATATTATTTACGTTTTAAGGAGAGATAACTGTCAGCATTTTTCTGATACTCAAGTAAGTCAGTGATAAAGTTTGCAAGGGGATAAATTTAGGAGTAAAAGTTAACCCAGTTCTCTCCCACAGAAAATATAACTTTCATTATATTTTGATAGAACTCTGTTGTTTTGTCATGAATTAAGCAATTGCATTGGGTTTTACCAAGACCTTTACCAGTAAATTATGTTTCTGTATGTAAAATACTAACCCCATTATTAGAAAAACAGTGTTATATGTATTTACAAAATTTTATAAGTTCATAGGGATTGTATTGATTTTTGTATTTTCCCAAAATAGTACTTTTAATTGATGGTCCTTTATGCAGTGTCTTAGCAATAGTCATTATAATGCCCACCCAGAAGTGGGTAGTAACTCTTCATCATGAAAATGATATATTACATATTTAGTATCTTCCCTTTGCAGTATTGCACTTTTGTTTACTAGAGTACACCTATGAAATAGCCAAAGTTTTTCACAGTTAACTTAGTTTGCCAGTGGGGTATTTCAACACCATCCATTCTTTCCTTCCCTCCCTCTAGTTCTACCCACATAGTCTTTATTCCTTTCATTCCCCAATTTAAAAAATAAAAAGAAAAGAAAAAAAAAAGCCCTAGATCTTGTCACTAAAATCTAATTTATATCAAATTATGAGATAAAGTATTTTCCTAATTATGGTCAAGTGAATTTGGTTAACATCCTAGTGATTCTCTATGTAATAAGGCAATTACAGTTTTCAAAGCATTAAGGTTAATATAAACTTTAAACATTCTCTTGGGTTTCAAGACACTTCTATTTAGTATTCATTGGGGGAGAGTCCAGCTATCAGCTTAAAAAAAAAAAAATGCAAGTATGGTTGTGTAAAGTTAAGGGTTATAAGGAAAAAAAAAATCAATAGGATTACATAATACTAAAGTTGCAGTTGAAAGAATATCCAAGTATGTGTTCGTAGTTACTAAAAAAATTATAGCTGTTATTGCCTTGTGTTTATAGCCCTGTTTCAGGTTTCATGATCCCAAGTCTTAGTCCAATTTTTCTTTTGGACATTTGCAATATTTACCAGTTGTGTTTTGTGTAGTCTGGATTTGCTTTCTGTAGTTGAGCAAACGTCTTAAAAGTCATTTGTAATTTATTAAATTACTTTCTATGATGTTCTATAGAGCAAATGGAAGTTTAATTATTTTTTATTAAACATATTCTTTGACTACCCATGATGTCAGCCTCTGTACATGACAATATTTTTTAATTGAATTTTATGTATAATTTGTTATACCAGTTATGAAGGAAACCAGAGTCATAAATCTTTAAAAAGAAAGTATACTTTGAAAAAAAATTTAAAACACAGGAATTGGCTATAGTTATATCCACAATATTATAAATGGTGTTAATTTTTTCATTTTGATTTGATTGCTGACCCACTGGTATTAATGGTTGCTCCGCCCAAAAAACTTTTTGGAATCTTAATTGTTAAACTATCTTGCAGCCCAATCGCTACCCCATGCCCAACATATTTCCTCAGAATTTCTTTCCATGGACCTTTAAAAAAAATGCCAGAGAGATTTGGAGATATACGTAACTCTTTTAGATGTCCATTTTAGAAATCAGTAATTATTTTTTCCCCTGGTCATAAGAGATTTTCCGCCAGTTTTGTAACGGTTTTTGTAAACTTTAAAGGAAATTGTTTTTCTTTTAATTACAGAAGTAAAGCAATGGAGTCTCATCATACACTCATTTCACTTGTACACATTCAGTTATACTTTTCATACTTGGAAAGCCATTTTTTTCTCTCTGTACAGTACAGCATGTAAACAAGCTAACTGCTTCATCTAGTACTTGGCTTGAGAAACACTGATCTATTCCAGTGCTGGAGAAAGAACTGGATGGTGGATGTTTCTAATAGAAGGTACACTATGTATAAAATCATGTGTATTTTGTGAGCTATCTGAGGGAAAGAGTGATTGTTTTGACTACATGTAGTACTTTATGCAATAATTTTATAACTTAATCTTTGCGTAAATGCAACTCCAGTACAAAAGCTATTTATAAGACATGCAGAAAACACCAAGGAAAAGTATTTAAATCATAAATCAATCCAGAGATATACACTATTGATATGTCTAATCTTTTTATAAGTTATGTACATTTTATACATAATCAGTTTCATGTGAGGCATAATATTTAGTGTACTGCCCTTAATATACTGACGTAGGTCAATAAATACCCTGCAGTATGATTTTTAATACACAGTATTGGCTCATACATATGTAATTTATTTAGCCATTTACTTAAAAGTGGATATTTGGGTTTATATATGCATTTTTGCATCCATACCTAATAATTTCCTTAATTACTAGAAATGAAATTTCTGTTTTGCTTTTTTAAAAGGATTTTGGTATGTGTTGCCAAGCTGACAATAAAATATTAGCAATTCATAGTACCATCAGAAGCATACATTTCATGCATGCCCATTTACCGCAAATTCTTACCAATAATGTGTATACTATCTTTTTAAAATATTCTTTGCCAAATTAATCAAAAATAACATCTTGATTTTTTTAATTAACCGATTGTTCTTTTTTCTGAAAACTAATGCATAATATAGACTATCTGGGAAGGGGAAGTACAAAGTAAACAAAAACCTGCACAATGCTGACACACAGAGATAATTGTTAACCTTTTGGTCACTTTTCTTTGCATATACATATTATAACTATTTTAGTAAGAATGGAGTCTTTTGTCACTTTGCACATACATATAATTATTTTAGTAAGAATGGAGTTACTCTGTACACACCACTTTGTAACATACTTTTTTCACTTACTAAATCGTGATTATCTTTCCATGTCTTTAACAAAATGTACAATATTTTTAAAGGCTTTCTAATATCCTATTATATAGATCATTATAATTTACTTAATGCCCTATTATTGAGCATTTTATTTTCAGCTTGAGGCTATTTAAACAATAATGTTTGTAGGTAACTTTGCATATATTTATGATTCTTTCACTAGAATAAATTCCTAGATGTGAAACTGCTGTGTTCAAATTTTAAGACCAGTAAGATTGTACCATTTTATACCCCAACAGCATATCATGAAACTACCTCCTCCCCCAAATCTCTTTGCCAACACTGGACGTTATAATTTTTTTTAATCTTTGTCAATTTGATAGGTTAAAAAATAGGTTCTTGTTTTAACTTATATTTGGTTATTAGAAATACAGGTCTTTTCATAAGGTAATTTATATTTCTTCAGCTAGGGATTAACTGTGTTTTTTGAGCACTGTTACATAAGTGGTAAATATTTTCCCCAGTTTTTCTGTTAATTTTGCTTGTGTGTGTGTTTAATAGATTTTTACAGCAGTTTTAGGGTTACGGAAAAACTGCAGAATGTACATAAAGCTCCCATATACCCCCTCTCCACCATGCAGACTGTTTCTCCTATTATTAACATCTTGCATTTGTGTGGTACATTTGTTACAATTGATAAACCAATATTGATACATTATTATTAAGTAAAGTTCGTAGTTTACATTAGGTCTCACTGTGTTGTACAGTCCTGTGGGTTCTGAGAAATGCATAATGTCATATGTCTATCATCACATCATAGAGATTAGTTTCATCGTCCTAAAAATACTCCACCTATCTATCCCTCTCAACACTCCCTGAACCCCTGGCAACCATTGATCTTTTAACTGTTTTGCCTTTTCAGAATGACATATAGTTGGAATCATACAAGATGTAACTTTTCAGACTAGCTTCTTTCACTTAGTAATATACATTTAAGGTTACTCCATGTTTTTTTTTTATTTTTATTTTATTTTTTGTAGTTTGATAGCTCATTTCTTTTTACTGCTGAATAATTTTCCATTATCTGGATGTGCCTCAGTTTGTTTATCCATTCATCTATTGAAGGGCATCTTGACTGCTTCCAATTTTTGGCAATTATGAATAAAGCTGCTATAGTTATTTGTGTGCAGGTTTTTATGTCAACATATGTTTTCAATTCATTTGTTGTTGCCATTGAGTTGATCCTGACTCATGGAGACCACATCTGACAGATGAAACAAATGCTGGGAGTGGAGCTAAGAGTAACCCATAGGCAGTCTAACTCAGAGTCTATGCTGTTGACCATTAAGTGAAACTGTTTTTATTGTCTATTTAGGCAGTGCCGTTGACAGGACTTAGTGATTCAATAGATGAAAAACACAAGAGTGGCTCTCAGGTTTCTAGCTTGAGAAACTAGGTAAGCGCTGGTAGTTTCAGTAATTAGACTTAACGGGGCTGAAGATGAAGCAGATTTTGGGAGGAAGATCATGAGTCTGTTTTGTACATGTTTATTTTGAAGTGAATGAAGCATGCGGGCATAGTGGTTAAAAGCTCGGCTCCCAACCAAAAGGTTGGCAGTTAGAATCCACCAGCTGCTCTTTGAAAACCCTATGGGCCAGTTCTACTCTGTCCTGTAGGGTCATTATGAGTCGGAATCAACTCGACGGCAATGGATTTTTTGTTGTTTGTTTTTATGAGGCATGCGAATAGAAATGCTATGTAGGCACTTGGGAGATCATAAGGCAGATCTAACCTGGAGGTGAATTAGGAGTCATGTAGATAATGGTAAACAAAGCCAAGGGAATGGATGAGATTGCCAAGGGAGAGTGAAAAGAAGAGGTCCAGAACAGGCCTGGAAGAGCCAAAAAAAGGAGGAGATATCAGAGAAGTGAGAGGTTAACCAGGAGAGAGTGATTTCATGGAGGCCAAAAGAAAAGTGAAGAGTATTAGTGGGAAACAATGGTTACCAGTGTTAGATGCTGCTGAGGACAAATATGAGGAAGATAGAAACATAACCACTGTATTTAGAGACAAGAAAGTTACTCATGGAGCAGTGCAAGGAGCATATAGATTAGTGTCAGTTAACTGGGAAGCAAGGAAATGAGAGCAAGGTTAGGCAAGTAATTTCTTTCACAGCCAATCCACCCTAGACCCTGGGCTCTCAAAAGGAATCTGAACTATAGGCTTTGGTTTCTACAATGGGAGCATGTTGAATAAGGGTATAATCAAATCCAGAAGATTCCTGAGAGGGTAGGAGGGGAAGGGATCCAGGGCACAGGCAATGGATTCATCCTAGAGAGGTGTCATTTCCTCTAAGAGGACACGAAGCAGGAAGAACCAGGGATTCGTAGATCTGAATCATTTCTATCAACATCAAATGTGCCTTGTTTCTCCCATCATAATACAACAATAACAATACTAAACAACCACCAAAACCACTCTCTTGACCTCATATCCTTCTCCAGCTCCCGTACTATTTTTCTGCTCCCTTTTGCAGTAAAACAAGAATTTTCTATATTCTATCACTTCTCCAAATCCGTCTTAAATCCATCTCGGTCAGGTTTCTTCTCACCACTCTGCCAAAACTGCTCTGGCATGGATGATCTCATTGTTACTAAATCCAGTATTCATTTGTTAGTCATTTTATTTGACCCATTAACATCATTAGATGCAGGTGCTCGATTCCTTCCTCTTGATGCTTCTCCTTAACTTAGCTTCCAAGACACTGCACTGTCTTGATTGTCCTCTTACCTTATTGGTCACTATTTGGTCTCCTTTCTTGG